GTGAGTGTGCACTGCTGGGCATTTGGGGGTGGGTGGTGGCACAGCTGGCACTGCCCCAGGGCTGTCGGCAGTGCCATCACGGCTGCTCCTGTGTTTCTGTGATGCCGTGCTCACCGTGCCCCCCGTCCACCAGTAGTGGAGGTGCAAACCCTTCCTCTTGGCATTTCCAGGGTGCCAACCTCATCTCCTGCCTCTGTGTGTGGATTGTCACTTCCGTGGATGATGCCACCAGGGCTGAGGCCACTGCCCACACGCAGGGCAGGGCAGAGGGTCCCCAGTGGGACCTGCAGGACCTTGCTGTCATCTGGAAAGTCTTCCTGAGGAAGCAGAAGAGTAAAACACTTCTGAATGGCTTCCAGCTCTTTTTAAAGGTGAGGGGCTGTGGTTTCAGGGGTGTATTTGATGTGTCTCACCCTCTGTCTTGCTTTGTGCCAAGGATAACCTGGCTATCCACTGAAATTGCCAGTCAAAGTGGAAATTCTTCCAGTTATCACAGATTTTTAGATCCTACATCAACCTTGCATGCAATTTTAATCAATTAAAGCTTCATTGTTCTGCTGGTGAGGGAGACAAATTCTATATTTATTGAATGAAATAATAGATTATTTTTAAAAGTATGATTTATTTCTTGGGTACTTCTGGGAATTTATTATGATCTGGTTTTGTGTCCTAAAGGATTTCCCTTTGCTGCACATCCTGGAGATGTATGAGCTGTGCATGAACTGTAAGAAGTACAATGAGGCTAAAGCCAAACTGGACAAATTTCAGGAAAGCCTCACAAACGTAAGGAAATCAATTTTCTCTCAACATCATTGCTGGGATTGGGCAGCTGGGCCAAGAGGAGCAGTGTGTGCAAACACTCTGTCTCTCAATGCAGATGCTTTGACAATTCTTTCCTTTCCATCCCAGTTTCTGGTTCCCTGCTAACTGGCATTATTCCCTGTCATTCTTGGTTTTTGTTCCTGGGCACTGGGCTCAGGCAGCTCAGTTCCCTTCCCCAGCAGTGCCAGGGCTGTTTGTGTAAAAATTAATTCTACCTGGTCCTTCTGGCCCTGCTCATCCCTCCCACCTCCCCCTGGCCCTGAGCAGCACCTGCAGTGCAATGTCCCAGCTCAGCTCAGCACAGCTCAGGCCTGGCAGCTCCCTGTTCCATCAGTTAATTAATTAATGTAAACAATTAATTGTACCTGGCCCTTGCCCTGCTCATCCCTCCCACCTCCCCCTGGCCCTGAGCAGCACCTGCAGTGCAATGTCCCAGCTCAGCACAGCACACCNAAAGCATGGAAGGGCTTTCTTGTGTTTTTGTTCCTGTCGCTTTACTCATTCTGGAAGGTGCATTTTGGTGCTGTAGTGCCAAATAAGGCAGGAGGGCTGATACAGGCTGTATCAGGCTCTAGCAGGCACTGTCCAGCAGCTGCCTGAGGCTGATACTAGTGAGGCTCAGCTGTAATAATGCTACAGGGAGTTAAACAAAGTCCATTGCCAAATCTCCTTTCTCCTTCCTCTCATATACCTGCAGGGAGATCAAGTGTTCAAAGCTGTGGGGAAATTAGGTTTATCCTAGAAATAACTTGAGAAAGGTGAATATCTAACTCCAGGGCCACAGGTATCTGCTTTCCCAGCTAGGGAGCTGCTCCTGAAAGTGCTGTCCTGGCTCTGATCGCAGCAGCACCTCAGGAATGTGTTCTTTTAAGCAGTGGAGAAGTTAACGAGGTTGGCTGACGGTGACAAGGCGGCAGCAGCAGCAGTCCTGACCTCCTTGGAAGAGGCTTTCTGGGATAACATTGAGCAGCAAGGCATAAAGAGGTGAGAGCAGCGTGGTGTGAGGGCTTCCCTGGGCAGTGAGGCTGGGCTGCATTCTGCTGTCTGTGTGTCAGCACCAGGAGGGCAGCACAGGACACTGACCTGGTGCAGTGATTGCTGGTGCTGTGTGCAGGCAGCCCAGGGTCCCCTCAGAGCTGAGCTCTGCTGCCAGCACTGCAGCTCTCTGCATTCTGTGCAGGACATCCAGTGACTGCAGCCGGCAGTGGTCCCTGGTGGTGCAGTTCTGCAAGCTGCACAGCCTGGAGCTGAGCACGTCCTTCCTGAGGGAATGTGCCAGAGCCAACGAGTGGCTGCAGTTCCTGATCCAGAGCCAGCTCCACGGCCACCAGCCCGCCCAGGTGAGCTCCCTGTGCTCCAAACTGGGTCCTGGAGCAAGGGAATGCCCCAGTGTGCAGGCAGCAGTGCTGGGGTTTGGGTCTCTTGGGACGTCCATACCCTGGGGCTGTGGGAGACCTTCCCTTGTAAATTTAATTGAAACTCAAGTAGTTACTGCTTTTTTTTTTTAATTGGAGAGTTGCCAGATGTTCAATGTAAGTTACAATGAAGCCACTCACCCATCCTTTCAAAACTCAAATTGATTTTTTTTGTAAAGATACTTAAACTTTTAAGAATCTAAATTTTCCACCTTTGGTTTTGGATGTGATGTAAAAATGAATAAAACACTCCAATAAAAGCAATTGGGAGAAGTCATGTGAGGAAGCTAAGTGGGAAATTCCAGGTAAGATGGAGCTTAGGAGCTTAGCAGGCCCAGGATTTTAACCTGGATCTGCTTGTTGTTTTGGAGAATCTATAACTCCACAAAAGCACCTGAGTAGACTCTTTTCAGCTCTGTTGCTGCACTACAAGAGGGAACAGCACTGAGGCACCCTAGGAGACATTTGAGCTTTGTGGAAATGCATGAGCTCTCATTAGAATAATTCACACCTACAGAACCCCCTTTCCTCTCCAGGTCTCCAAAGCTGCTCTAAAACTGAATTTGGGGAGTGTTTCATCTCTGTGTGTTCAGCGCTTCCTCCCTGCGCTGCCCGTGTGGCCTCACGAGGTTCTGTGCTGTTGCCCACAGGTCATTCCCCTGCTGCAGGATTTCCCTGCCGTGCTCCAGGATCACCTGCAGCTGGCCCTGGGGAGGCTGCTGGGAGCTGGGGCCGCTGCTGCAGCCGGGGCCCGTGCAGGGAGCCTGTTCCACACCCTGCTGCA